ATAATATGTTATTATTTTGTAGATTCATGTGATTACACTAAAAAGGGCCGAGGAAAGATGAGAGGCGCGCGAAAGAAACGAGAGAAAGAAAAAGATTGCGGTGGATAATGACAATGAAATGACAAAACGATATACATTACCTTGTATATATTAGTGATAATTGTATATCACGCACGGACGGAAAGAGATGGAGAGACGGTCCGACACGAAAAGAAAGTTTACAAGTCCGTGGCAGTCCGGGGCACAATAAACACACTATATAAACACTTGTATGGAGCTGCTCCTGCACAAAACTACATATCTTGAGCGTTATATATTTATTACGTTTCTATAGTGCGTGGCATTCTTACTGCAAATTATCACGGAGGAGTGCAGGCGCCGCGCAATACAACAGCGAGCATTTTTGCAGAATGATATAATAATATATATATTGATGCCAAGACATATATTATATATATATATATATACTAGATATATATATATATATATTATGTGTGTCGTGTGTGTGTGTGTGTGTCGTGTGTGTGTTGTGTGTGTTGGTGTGGTGTGTTGTTGTGTGTGCTGTTGTGTGCGTGCTGTGGTGCGTGTGTTGCGCGTGTCGCACGTGTGTGTGCGTTTGCGCGCGCTGTGCTGCGCGTGTGCTGTGATGCGTGTGTGGGAGTGTGTGGTGTTCTTATATTACGTGCGTACTGGCCTATTTATAAATTAGCGCAATATTTTTAATCATTCACGAGGTGAACAATAATGCGCATTTGTGTTGTCGTGTTTGCGCGTGCACGCGTGGTGTTGCTGTTGCAGCGTGTACGCTCTCTTGTGCGTGCGCCATAACATGGCTGAACAAGACATAGAAGACTATATTCAAGCAAACAGCCTTTGGTGCGGTTTTGTGATTTTAAGTTGCATTTATTTAACTACACATAGAAAACACGATTGGGCCTTAAAAAATGACACATGTTGCCTTATCAGCCCGAAGGAATTATTGCTGTTGTGTCTTATTTGTTTCTTTTCTGATCTTTCTCGTTACGTTACATTAAGCGTTACCGCATTACTATTTTCTCCGCTTTAATTTCATGACGCTAAAAATTTTTAACTTTTACCATTGATATATTTTTGCCGTTTCGTGATTACTCGGTGTTGATAAAGCCGCGGCTATCGGAGAATATTCGCGCCACAGCAATTACTACTCAGTTGTCATTAGTATCGTGGAATATTTCGGTCGTCATGGTGATCGCTGCTGCCTTCGTCGTCGCTTGTTTAGTAGGCGTGCACTCTGGGTGTCGGTGCCGACGATACCCTGGGGGACAGCATGGGAAGGTCACGGATGCAACCTCGCATCGCTTCCAGCTTCACGTGGCGGATACTGCACCTTTACCGGGTCCCGAAGCGTACGAAGCCTCCTGCTCGGAAGCTGCCCTCTTCGCGCTCAACCTGCCTGCGTGTACTGTGCGTCGCCTTCTGGTTAGCGGAAGCGGCAGCGCTCAGCTCGATGCCGACTTCCGCTTTCCGCTTTCCGCCTGCGCGCCCGACGCGCTCTCCGTAAATGCCTGACGTATCGGGTCATGATATCGGCGCGCGATGAACAAACCTGCTGACTGATCGGTAATTCCGCCCAATGATGGAGGCCACCGTTTCTGAGATCAGGATTGGGCGCGCGGCCGGAGCGTCCTTGCAGAGCTTCCGCTCGAAGCGTGAAAGCTCTCGGCGTTGAGAAGCTCGGAAAGCGAACGCCTGCAGGCCATAGCCCTTGCATCGATGATGTGCCGAAGCTATCACACGTTTGAGGCTCTGGTGAGCGCGTGCGGATCTGTGGTGCTTTTGGGATCCCCTCCTCCAAACGGGTCATCTGTGCCGAAGGCGCGACTTGACGGCGAGCCTCTCGTACGACGCGGATTCCGTATCCGCGCGCCTCGAGTAACTTCATGATCCGCTTCCATATCCGCTTCCGTATCGCGTTCCGTATCCCGCTTCCGTATACCTCCAGTACTCGCACCCAGTTCGTATTCCAGCCCACCGCCCAGGTGGACTTCCGTATCCGTCTCGTATCATCTCGCCAGGTAGTTCCGTAATCGCGCTTCCGTATCACTGCTCAGGGTGACTGCCCGTATCGCTTCCGTATCCACCGCCCCAGGTGACCTGCCGTATCTGTTCCGACTCTGACTTTCCGTAGTCCCGTCCGGTACCAACGTGTACTTCCGTATACCCCCCCGACCGGTGACCTACCGTCAATCGGCCCGGCTACGCCACGCCGGTCTTGTCCGTATCCGCGGCAACGTTACTGCCGTATCCGCCGCATTGACTGAAGGCGGCGCTTTTCCGCTCACCCTCCGTAGCGTCCGGCCCTGTGGTCCACCAGAGACGCCGGCAAGGCAGCTCGACGAGTACGGTAACACGCGATGGTGTTTCATTTGATCCATGAGACGTCTGAGAACAGCCGTCGGCGGAGTGTCAGTCTGACGCGTACACTGCTTTATGACCTTTTTTTACACAAGAAAAACATAACTTAACCTTTAAGAATTTAACTTAAAGAATTAAGTTTAAGAAGTTGATTTTTAAGAATTTTAACTTTTGGTATGCGAAATGCGTCGTTCAGTAGATGATACCGTTACTCGATTTGTAATCTCCTCTGCTATAGCTGCCGTGGAAAAAGCGTATAGGTGACGACGGCTCTGATACTATACTTTTACTACTACTACCTACTACTACTACTACTACTAATACTACACTACTACTTACTACTACTAACTTACTCACTACTACTACCAGGAGTAATATAATTATTTAGCTGTGACTCCTGCTACTACTACTACTACTACTGGGGACTAACTATTACTTACTACTACTATACTACCTACTTACTACTATTACTACTACTACTACTCTACTTATACTACTACTAAATAATAATAAATAATAATAATAATAAGTAATAACGAATACTAATAATTAATAATAATCAGGATGGATAAGGTAGGCGGCACAAAAGACAGTTGTGGGCAACCAAGTGCCACGTATCGAATTAGCTAACAAGATTTCAATCAGACTATAAACACACTAATGCAGACTACGATTTCATTAGGAGCTTACCTGGACGTTGTCACTGGCGACGATCCATCTCTGTCCTTCATAGTGTTAGCCAACTGGTGACTAGATATCGCTCAAACCTGGGAGATATTCTATATAAACACGCGGTCCTGTACCGATTACCATGCGTGGCTTCGTCCTGAACGACGAGACCGTCATTGTTTTGTGAACACAGCGGAGAGCAATTGCACGGACATGGTGTCGTGAATGAGGGCGAGCACATAACAAACGGTCCGGAGGACGATGGTTGTGTGTAATGTGTCAATCAACTTGAGAGAGACAGAAAGGAGGAGCGAGAGAGAGGAGACGAATAGCGAGCGAGGACGAGCAGGAGAGACGGAGAGAGAGACGAGTAGAGAGAGAACGAGGGGAGAGGAGAAAAAGTGACGAGAATGTTGACGACAGAGAGGATGGAGAGAGAGAAGAGACGAGAGAGGAGAGGGTCGAAAGAGTAGAGATGGGCTGTGATGGGGAGATACGAGGGACGAGACTGTGTGTGTGTGGTTGTAGTGAGCGCGAACAGAGATATGAGCAGAGAACCAAGAAGGAGTCGAGAAAGAGAGACTGGGATGAGATGGAGGCGAGAGAGGACAGAGGGCGAGAGAAGATTTGAGTGTATATGGAGAGACAGAAGAGTTACCGCGAGAGAGAGAGAGAGATAGTCGAGCGAGTTAGCCGAGAGGAGAGAGACGAGGATGCGAGGAGAGAGGAGAAAGAGCGAGAGAGAGAGCATCGAAACCCGAGATCACGAAGAGATTTGTGGGTTCCGAGAGACGAGAGAGAGGGAGAGATGAGCGAGCAGAGTGACGAGAGAGCGAGATAGAGCAGCGATGGCGTGAGGATGTATTAGAGCCAAAAGAGTGTGATCGCGTTGTTTTGCGCGCGCGTTGGTTTTGTGATTGGGTGTTGTACGTGAGGATGAGACCGAGAGTAGAGAGGAGAAGAAGATAGAGACAGAGGTAGGGACGCAGACGGAGAAGCACTGAGAGCACGCATGATTGTGTTTTTGGATGCGGTCTTGACGCTGTAGGCGAGGAACAGAGAGATCTCGGAGAGAGACACGAGAGCAAGAGATTAAGAGACGAGAGAAACGGAGAGAGCATGAGAGAAAAGACAGAGAGCGAGGGAGATTAGCAGACAGAGAAGCGAGATGAGAGAGAGTGAGACAGAGCGCCAGGATAGAGAGAGAAGAAATTATAGAATACATCACCGAGACGATTAACCAACACGATTTACAACAACGACTTTTAGAATTCTAGACGCAACATCTGTGCGCGTGCTGGGCGGTGTGTGTGAGCGTGTGTCGTATTTTACAACAAGCCTTTAGAATTCTAGACGCAAGCCATAGCTTCTTGATACAGTGTTTAATATGCAAACAGGCGTTACGTTATACAGTGTTAAATGCCAAACAGAGCTCTATACCAGTGTTAATAAGCAGCACAGTTAAGGCTAATATCCACACACAAGTTAAGCGTCTTCCACGACTTCGCCCGGCACTGGGTACGCACACAAGCACAAGAACGCGAAGCGCCGCTGTATGCTGCTTGAAAAAAGAATACATATGCTGATTGTACGGCGCATTGTGTCTGAGCGCCATCCGTTGTGTTCACTCTTGGTTCGGTGATTCAGAAACTTAAGCATGTGCCTTGTTGTCCACTTGGCTGATGGTGGCGTGAGCAGACACGTGATAGATAAAGATAACAGCGCGACAGATCGTCTTTCTCCATACACGGCATCCGCGGCAAAAGTCGAAACTTATTTGGTACTTTCGGCCGTCCGGCAACGTTCAAACCCGGATCGCTGGCGCCAGTGCGAGCGTGGTCGAGTGGAGCATCTGCGCCAGATATAATAGATTGGTCTGGGTGCATTCGTGGGGTGGTGTGTGTTCTTGTCAGTGTGGTGGTTGTTTTATGTTTGTTTTTTTTGTCGTGGTGATTTGGGTTGTTTTGTGTTGGTTTTTGGTTGTTGTGTGATATAATAGATTGAACCTTTTGCCGGTAGCGGCTCCGTGAACGGTCTGCCGTATTCCGTGCGCCGTTCCGTGCCGGCCGCGCCGCCGGGTCGTGGCCCGGGAGTGGGAGCACGGGCCTTTTTCTTCGGTAATGTTTTCTCGTGTTGTACTTATCTAAGAATAAACCATCTGTGTTGGTAACTACTGGGACGCGTCTCACGCTAAAGTAAAAATAATAATGCTTACAACAAACTGACGAACATGATTATTACCTACTGACCAGTGACTGTAAATAATGTTTGTTCTTACTATCTCTAACTCTGATCCCTGTCTGTCTGCCATTATGTGCTTGTAAATCCTGTCCTCGTAAATAACACGCGGCCCCACCTCGCCTTTCTCTCTCTAGCGTCGCAACCCTCCCCCGAAAAGGGCCTCTCGTCCCCTGCTGTTTACTGCTCAACTACACCTCGTTCATTCTCGTATGTTTTCGTCTACTCCCTTAGCTGGCTCCAGCTAAGGATGACCCCCGCCTCCGCCGCGGTCCTGCCCTGCTGTCTGCACCACCTCGTCCCCCTTACTTTGTAATTACCCTGTCTTCTTGCGTTTCATCCTGGCTCTCGCCGTAGCTGTCAACCTAACGTGTTAACCCTCTCTCTGCATGGTCAGCGGCATGGGCTGATGATCCCGGGCGTGTACTGTAATATTCTGTCACTTATGTTATTCTCTCTCTAGCTGTGACACCTACAAGGCTGTCGCAGGACAGCGGTGTCTGCTACTGTATAACCCCTACTCTCTCTCTCTCTGCTCTCTCTCTTCTCTGTCTCTGTCTCTTTGTCTCATGTCTCTGTCTCTGTCTCTTCTCTCTCTCTTCTCTCTCTCTCTCTCTGTCTCTGTGTTCTCTCTCTCTTCTAGCTGTCACCTTAGGGCCTGTCTTGTGGGTTGTCCTCGGTACTGTAATGTACTCTGTCTGGCTTCATGTTCTTTCGTTTCTTCTAGGCGAAGCAGCTGCTAAGCTGGCTGCGGCCTGTCGTGTGTCGTGGGACGTAGTATAGCCGGGTGTCTCGTATGTTTCTCTCTGCTAGCCTTGTGACAGAAAAAAGAAAAAACCCTAAAGGGGCTTGTCCTGTCGTCGGCGGTGTGGTATGTGGGGTGTGTGGGACTGGTGAATACCTTTACAGTCCTTAGGCGTATGAGTTGGCTGTCGCTTTACGTGTAGCTGTATCAATCCTAAGGTGCAGCTGTCTGTGGCCATGCGGTGTTTACCTGGTAAACCTGCTCTCTATAGTGTCCCAAAGAGTGCAGCACATAAGGGGCTGTCTGTGTCTTGCTACTGTTAACACCTGTCTCTTTATGTTCTCTCTGGCATCTTATAGTCGTAGTCAAAATCACTCAAGGGCAGCTGTGTCGATAATACCTGGTCTCGATGTCTTTCTCTTCTCTCTCTTAGCTGGAACACCTAAGGGCTGTCATGCGCCGTGTGTGGTCTGTTCGTAGTTGTAAATAACCTGTTCCTTATGCTGGTATCTCTCCTATCCTCTCTCTAGCTGGACACCTAAGCGGCATTGTCGTGGCTTTGAATAAAAGAGGGTCCGCGATCGGCCGGCGTGCCGTGTAGAGTTTAGCCCCTCCGGTGCTCTCGTGCCCCTGGGTGAGGTTTGGTGGTGCCAGATCCGCTGGGCGCCCGCGGGATTCGGTACGGTGTAATACCTGTATCTATGTTTCTCTGCTCTTATAGCTGACAGCCTAAGGCTGTCTGGGTCTGTACGGTGTAACACCTTGTCTTCATGTTTCTCGTTCTGCTCCGTAGCGCGGTGCACAACCTAAGGGTTGGCCTAGCACTTTGGCTTGTGCTTGTACTGTAGATACCTGTCATCTATGTTTCTGCTCTCATAGCTGTCAATCCTAAGGCCGTTGTCGGTGTTGTGTCGTTTACTGTAGACACCTGGTGCTCTTAACTGTGTCGTCTCTTCGTCTACTCTGACGACCTGAGAAGGGGGGGGGCGTGTGGCCGTGTCGTGGTACTGTAATACCGTGTCGTATGTTATTGTTGTGAGTTCTTTGCGTCTAGCTCGACACCTATAGGCGAGGCTGTCTGCTGTCTGTACTGCTAACACTCCTGTGCTCTATTGTGTGTGTGATGTATAAGTGTGTATTCTATCTCTAGCTGACACCTATGTGGTTGCCCCAAGGTGTCTCGTCTGATATGTCTGTTCATTAGTTAATATATCCAAGTTGTCTCTATAGTTTCTCTCTCTAGCCTTGATCAGGACCTTAAGCGGCTGTCTGTAGATGCTCGCTTACTGTAAATACCTTGGCTCTATTTGTTTTCTTGCTCTTAGCTGACACCTGAATGGGGTCTAGTCTATTGTGTCTTGATACTGTCAAATGAGCCTGGTTTGTCTCCTACAAATGTTTTCCTACTCTTAAGCTCGTCACCTAAGGGCTCGTACAATATTCTGTCGTCTGAATGGTACTGTAGACAACGACTGATTGTTCTATGCTTTTCTCTTCTTCTCTAGGCTGACACCTAAGTGCGCGGTGCTGTCTGATAGTCGGTTGTCGTACTGTAGATTACGCTGTCCCCTCTACGTTTCTCTCTGCTTCTAGCTGTCACCCTATGAGGGCTTGTGCTGTTGCTTCTGCTAACTGTACATACCTGTCTTCTAGTTTTTCTCCTCTCCTAGCTTGTGACTAAGGGCTCTGTTTTGTGATCGCGTGTGGCTACGTGTAGATACCTGTGTCGTGCTATCACAAAGCTCAACTAATCTCAACAAAGCTCAACTAATCGTAATGTGAGACGAGAGAACGAATGCTAGAATTGACCACGAAACCAAACTAACTGTGTAGAACACAGTCACATGAATATGGATATCGACGACCAAGCAACTAATCTAAGCAAACTCCGTAGAACGCAGTCCCGCTACATTGAATCGCTAACATTACATGCGCCGTGTTAATTTGCGTGCGTGCACTCGGGTTAGGTCAAGGCAGAACAACTAAAGTGAAGACACGTTGGATAAGAGAGAGCGCGCACGAATGTGGAAATCGACGACAAAGCAACTAATCTAAGCAAACTCCGTAGAACGCAGTCCCGCTACATTGAATCGCTAACATTACATGCGCCGTGTTAATTTGCGTGCGTGCACTCGGGTTAGGTCAAGGCAGAACAACTAAAGTGAAGACACGTTGGATAAGAGAGCGCGCGCACGAATGTGGAAATCGACGACAAAGCAACTGATCTAAACTAATCTTTTTACGTGAGATCTAGACGAGAGAACACACACGAATACTAGAATCGACAACGAAACAAATAACGCCTGTAGAACACATTCGTGCCCTGTTGAATCGCTAACGTGACACGCGCTGTGTTAATTCACGTGCGTACGCTCGAGTTAGGTTACGATGAATACATTCTATACGTGACAAAACACCCGGGTTTGCATATCGATGAAATATAACCACAAATAACTGCGTGGGGTGGAACGACCGAGCTTCAACGCACAGCGCGCTGGGGTAGTCGTATGCAAGGTTCGCGGTGAGCCGGCATACCTTTGGTACGGCTCTTCGCATGATCTCCTTGTATTCTTCCTTATCGATTTCTCGCCGATTGTAGAACGGTTTCAGCGCCACCTTCACTTCCTCAATCACCCGCTCCTGCCTGAGTCGTTTCTTTAGATACTGCAATGGCAAATCAGCGTATCTGAATCCGCACAAAATACTTAGACACGAAGATGTGTCAACTACAATGATAATTGCAACTACCCGTTGCTCAAATACCTGCACAAAAGACTTAGATTTTGATGTTAAGGTGAAAGTTGTTAAGAATGTTTGATGATAATACACCGATTACAACTGCGATATAGTAACTACCTATTGCTCGAATACCAACGCAGAGAAATGACTAACGAGCATCGACAAACAATTAGAATTGATTAGCGTTGCAAGCATCATCATTGGGTCGATTATGCGGCAAAAACTTAAATACTCAAAAATCAACACAGAGAAACCACTGGACAAACAATTGAAATGAATTCACGTTGAGAGCTCCATTGTTCTCTATCGTTGGGTCGATCACGCCACAACAACCGAAGCTACGTACGGTTTCCCTGCTGTTTCCCGCGGCGGCGGCGCCGCCGTGCCACGCCGCCACCTGCGCGTCCTGCTTCCCCTCGACGATCGCGATGAGCTCCGGCGACGGTTGCTTAGCAACGGGAGGCTGCCGCAGCGTCGCCTCCAGTTCCATATCGGCGATGCGGTCCATGTCTGGCCCCGTCTCGCCGTTCTGCTTCTCCGAGTCGCCGAGCTTCGACTTCTTGAGGATGCCCGGGCGATCCTTGCCGCCCTCGGCCGTGTTCCGCTCGAACACCTGCGTCGCTGCCTCGATCATCTTCAGCAGGTCGTTCTTCTGCGGGATGCCAGCCGGGTCAAGATTCTCGCCCGGCCACGAGGGCGCGCCCTCCTTCTTGCGCGCGGGCGATTCGAGCAGCGCCGACGGCAGCGCGTCCACGGTCTTCCACGCGTCCTGCAGCCGCTGGTCGAGCGGCGTCATCGCCGGCGGCTCGGCGCCGCCGGGTTTCGCCAGCAGGTTGCGCTGCACGTTGAGCAGCGACGTGATCGCCGTGATCGGGTCGTTCGGCTGCGCCGCCGCCGCCGTCGTCGCGGTCGTTGCCGCGGGCGACGACGACGGCGACGAGTCGGTGTCGGAGGTCGCCGCGAGGAGATCGATCGGAGGCGGAGGGAAGCAGGGTGGGTGGAAGCCTGCGGCGGGCGGGGCGGCGGCCGACGGACGAACCCCCGAGGGGAGGCTCGGGGGAGGCACGCTGAAGAGGAAGGGCGGCGGAAGCAGGTTGAGGGCGGGTGGGACGCTGAGGAGCGACGGGGGGAGGTTCGATGGGGCGAACGGAGGCGCTAACGGTGGCACGGAGGAAGGCGGGAACGGCACGCCGTCCGGCAGCTCCTTCGCCGGTGATTGGTTTATCGATTTCTCCAGCCTGCTGCCATACTCGGCCTTGTCGTCCGACGTTTTTCCGTCGCCCTTACTCGACTGAATCACGCCATCTGGAAAAGTTCATTGACATTCTGTAGCCAACATCTACAGAAATAAGGAACAAATGGTTTACCGGAAAGAACGATTAAACGCAAAATGGCAATCATGCACGAAAAAACCTTTCTATTCTATTCTATTCATTGGTATCGATTTCGTAAAAAGTACGAGGACAAATCGTAGCACGTATGTCAGACGTATGTTTCGTCTTCGCACAAGATTGTATTTTTATTTCGTCGAGTAATTCCATTCGAAATAAAAATACATTCGAGTGCAAAAACAAGTACATCATCAAACATTGAATGCGTAGATCTTTCCTCTCACTTCAAATGCTTCCCGCTGGCACGCACATTTCTCTAAGTAAACGACTAACGAAATATTTACTTAGCAAAAGCAAGAAGAAGAACCTTAGCATTCACCGCCTGATTTCGTTTCGCACTAGAATGAGTGATTCATCATTTCATCCAAATAAAAATACATTCTAGCACGGATACAACTTCTACATCAGACACTGAATGTACATAGAATTCTCTTTTAAATTTTTCCTCTTGCTTTAAATACTTCCCGCTCGCACGCACGCGTACCTGCATTTCGCTCGGATGAGCTGTCCGGCGACTGGGTCGGCTGGAATGGATCATACTCCGGACTCTTCTCGGGCGCCGCCGCCGCCGTCTTTGCCGCGGTGCGATGATTCTGCGACGGTGAATCTCCGTGTGCGGGCGAGGAGGCTGAGGACGACGTCGCCGATGACGACGACACGCTCGCCTTCGCCGCGGCAACATACGCTTTTGCGTCGCCGCCTCCGCCGACCCGCGCCTTTCCCGCCGCGACCGCCAGGGGGCTGCACGAGTCGTCGTTCTCGTCAAACACCGGCGTCGGCTGGCTGTCGGTCGGCGACACCTCCCCGTCCTCCTTCAGCTCCCCTCCTCCTCCTCCTCCTCCACCCGCGCCCGGCCGCGACGCCGCGCCCCTCTTCTGCGATTCCGTCGCCGCTGCCGACGACTTCTCTCGGGTCTCGCGGAAGTCGCACATGATGTGGATGTTCTTTGCGTCGGGGAAGTCGTAGCTTCCCGTGTCCTTCCCCGGCATGCCGTCCGGATCGATGAGGTTCTCCGCCGTGACGAAGCGGTTGCCCTTCTCCAGCTTCTCCTCGCGACGCCGCTCAGCGAGCCGACGCGAGAGCTCCTCGACGCGCCGGTCCGCGAGGCTGCGCGAGTCCTGGTCGCCGCCGGCGACCGCATCCTCCTCCTCCTCGTCGCCGTCGGAGACGCGCTCCTCCTCCTCCTCGCTCCTCGCCGCCTTCTCCGCCGCCTCGCGGCGCTCGCGCTCCAGCTGCTGCTCCTTCTCCTGCTGCCGACGGAGGAACTTCTCCTCTGCGCGCTGTGCGATCGCCGCAAGCTTCTCCGCCTCCTCTCGCTGCTCCTTCGCGACTAGCTCCTTCTCCGTGCGCGCCTGCAGGATCATCTCGAGCTCGGCCTCGCGCCGCCGCGCCGGGATCGAGTACAGCTTCTTGCCGTCCTTGCGCTCGCTCAACTCCGCGCCAACGCCGCGATCCTTCTTCCGCCGCTTCTCCTTCTCACGTCGACGCCCGCCTCCCTCCTCTCGCCGCTTCTCCGGCGCGGCGGCGGCAGCGGCGGCGGCAGCGTCGGCGGCGTCG